TTCTAGTCCGTACGATTTTTTGAATATTATTTAATTAAATATTAATAAACAACATCGCTATCACTGACGTTGACCGTAAGCGTTCAATGTTCGTCTTCCGCCCTAGCTGAACTCGAGCCCTGGATTCGCCCGTGTGAATCACTAATAATTTGTTGTTTTATTAGTTCCGACTGGATAAAATTTTCATCCCAACAAATAAACAGGTTGACCTGATAAACTATGCACATCATTAATTGTCTAATAAAATGTTAGTTTGGGTAAAAATTTTGATGATAATAAATTTCAAGTTATTAATTGCTTTCCTCTGTAAACAGACATCAGTATAGACAATTATGAAATACAAGATAGGAGATTTTAGACACTTTACACAATTGTTTGTAATGGCAAAATATTTTGACTAGAATTGATTGGAGGCAATCCCTATTGGGAAAACCCCCTCCAAAAATAGGTGTATGCCGCTATTTGCGACGAGCACACGGTATTCTTTAGTAAAAGGCGAAAGAATAGTTCGCTTTGTGCTCATCGCACGGCTGCATGAATTATCCTTTTTACTGGGCCAACATTTTATAGCCTCTCATTCTCTCATCCTAATACTTTGTACCGATGTGGGATTGGTACTGACCAAAAAACGCAACAGCACTCCAACATTCCAACTAGCATAGGTTAACTCCACCAGCTGTGTATCTTATCATCATTTTTACTTTTGGTTTCATTTTTTATCGAACTGATTATAAGACCATCAGATTAGTCAAGTTTCTTTATGCCTCCGCTCAGGTTCATTTTCGCTCACTAAGCAGCCTTTCTGTCAAATTCTTAATCAGCACAGCGCAGCGCGAACCAGCTTTGTAATCGATCCCTGGATGTTTTTGGTTTCAAATTTGGATGTACCATACGCTCTTTCTCCGGTGCAGGAAGTTGGTACTCTTAACCCTTGCTGCGTGGAAGCATGGATGAGGGAATGGGCTATTGATGTCAAATTTATTAGTAATTCGTGAACACACCTCGTTTTGATGCACAAATGTTTTTGGTGTCGAATTTGAGGTGTGGTGACGTATACCCTCCAATGCCGGAAGTTGGTAATCTAACTCTCTCTTCTTGGATGTGTGGGTGTCGGGTGAGAGGGGAGATGCTATTACCTATCAATGGAAAAACCTGTGTGTGTAGGAGACGTTTTGAGAAGTGCGGTCACACTCATTCACTCTACAAGTTTGGTTGGTGCCGGTTCATAATTTCAAAGACATTTTGTGAAAACTTCGCTAACCTCATCACGAACGTTGTTAGAATTTTGACCGAGCAACTGATGCTCTCAGACTTATCACATCTGATTTACCAACAAAGTGAGTCCCTTCCACTCTTTTGGTCTTCTTTTACTTCTTTTCTTTACTTCATTCGTTTCGGGTTTAGCTGTTTAGGGTTCTTATCAATTTTAATCTTGGAGTCCACATGTGCAATTGATTATTGCTACCATGCGAAAGAAGAAAAAAATAAAAAGCTCGAGACAAGGCAGACCTTCTTGATCATTTGGAGGGAAAATTGTGTCTTTGGTGAGTACTGAGTTGTTCTTTTTCAACTGACTGTGTAACCTTCTGAACAGGTCTTCTGATACATCGTTATTTTCTATATCATAGTAAGGTTGTTACTCGAGAGGCAGACGAGGACCTGAGTAATGTAATAGTGCTGCTAATGTTCTTGGAAAATAGTCTAAATGTTTTCATGGAACTAGCCTTCTATTAAAGTCCCATCGTCTCCAAACGGTGTTCTTTGATATTATCTAAATCAAAGTCGGTCTGTAAATCTATAGATATTCTTAGAACTATCAGAATATATAAAATCATTAGTCTAATCTTTATGTGCTTCTACTTCTGTCTCTCTGCTACACATGAACAAAATCTCTCACCAGCCAAGAAAAGTTAAATCCAATTATTATGAAAAATATTATTTGCATAAATAAAAGAATCATTGAATTATGATGGATATTGTTGACCTCATTTTTTGCACCAACAGAATCTTTGCTACCTCCCCTCTATGCAACTATCATCTGTACATTGGAACACCCCATTAAGAGGCGAAGACTGTCGGTCGAGAACAAGGTTTGGCGATCGTTTGCACTCCTACGGTCAAGTCAACGATAGGACCTAAGCCTAGACCCAAAAATAGATTACTTGATTAAATAGGTCCAATCCAATTAAATAGTTGATATCGCGTCGGTCAATGTGGGACCTTCTGTCACGCACATGCCAGGTAATTTATAAGTGTAACAAATATCAAGTTCAAAATGAAACAGTAACAAGAGAAGAATATGATCCAAGTTTAACGTTTGCCTTCCATTTTATAAATTTAATAATTATGCGGCGGCAAACCAAAATGTAGTGTAGCAAGAGAACACTTGATATTTGATGGCAAGATACTAATGTCTCAGAATCCCACATTGGAGAAGAAGAAAAGGGAGAGGTTGAGGAGCATTACAAAACAAGGCCAAGTGGGATTGTTTTAAGCACTTACCTGGACGGGGTCAATGGGTGATCAAGAAAGCCCATGGCCTAGGTTGGTGACTTCCATTGCACTTTGGAGGGGCACCTGCCTAAGGTCGGCCCAAGTGGTCGAGCCTATGTCGTAATTTGTGCCAGTGGGGGCCTGCGTTCGCGCGGCCCCTGCCCAACTCTTTAGTTTAATTGTTCTATAACTTGGGTACTAATGGTGAGCTCGTAGATAACTTTCCTGCAAATTGACTAAGGTCATCCCCAAGTGGTCGAGTCTACGTCATAATTTGTGCCAGTGGGGGCCTGTTATGTTAAATTTTCATTCTTATAGTTAAGGTCAATGGGGCCGGGGGTTGATCGAAAATGAGATTATACAAGCACGATAGGCCTCCCACGAGTAATGTGAGATCAGAAGCAGTCGGCTCAAGATTCTCCACAAAACAACAATGTATTAAATTCACAAGCAAAATCAACTGCTTCCCTTGATAGAAAGATAACTGTAATAATTGACAATTAATATGTACTGCAATCTTGTAGCAGAATCACGTTTTCATCAATCTTAAACAATTAGTCTTTAACTTATTGGTACTCAACATCAATCATCAGGAAAACCTAGAAACCTGTTAATGAACTTTGCAACCGGGGTTGCATCACCCGGTTGATACACTATAAGAGATTCTGGATCCATTTCTGAGATTGTCTGATAGAGCGTTTGAGGACGAGCACAAAACAAATGCTTTCTCTCTGCTAGTTCTTCTGCCAGCTCACTTTGATGATTATCCATCAAATCCTCATTAACTACCACAATTAGAGGTTTTTTGAGCCGCAATGACTCAAATATGCTCCCTGAACCTGCAAAACCAGATAAAATCTGATTAAATAAAATCGGATTGAGACATCCAACAAAATGTCTTACTTTGAAGAAAAACTGGTTACATGGACCAAGAAATGGTCACAACCTCTATGGAAAGCATCGGAGATCAGCAGACCCTGCAATAGTTTTTGACGCTGAAATATATGGACAGAAAGTAAACCTAAATAAGGCCCCGTTTGAGCCACTTTTTTGTAGAATGAGAATGAAAAATATAGTCGTTATTGGGGCCCACACAAGAGATTGAAAATTTGAATTTAAATGTTGATGTGATGGATGACGGTCATATTTTTCATTTTAATGAGAAAATAAGATATATATGGACAGAAAGTAAACCTAAATAAGGCCCCGTTTGAGCCACTTTTTTGTAGAATGAGAATGAAAAATATAGCCGTTATTGGAGCCCACACAAGAGATAGAAAATTTGAATTTAAATGTTGATGTGATAAATAAAGGTCATATTTTTCATTTTAATGAGATAAAAAGGTGGACCAAACGGGGGCTAAATATATCAAACAGTCACCAGGATCGAGACATCATCCCAATTTGATTTTTAAACATGAAAAGAAAAAAGTCATTGACCTATTACTTTTTCGTCGAAAGTATACAACAAAGGATGGTGATTTTTTTATCACAATTATTATTGCACCAAAAAGTTCAACCACCTAAGTGATAGAGGACTAGGATCATGTTTGGTAAGCGATTATAAATTAATAATTTCTGGTCAAACGTATTTTTCATCTACACATTTCATAGGACCCACAACTACTACTCACTTATTATCCTCACATTTCATAGAACCTAGAATTTATACTCGCATAAATTTTTATTTAATCACTTGCCAGTTGCCAAACATGAACTAAAATTGATTTGGGTTTTTTATACATTTTCCCTGGTGGTCTTCATTTATAATAGTTAAGAATTAAGATAGTACTTGCCCCTATAAAGTAGCAAATATACTGTATACGGAGAAAAAAAGAAAGAAAGAACCTTAACCAATTTGCCTTGTGCTTTCCTCCAGCCCATGTCTAATATATGAATAGCTTAGTACATTTTCCTAATCATGCACAAATATATTATCTCTGACTCAGTCAGGAATAGGCACTCAATATATACAGTGTTAATTGGAAACTGGAAAGGTGAAGTAACTTGCTAATGGGGGGAAAGGTGCAAGAAAAGCAAATGGAGAAAATACGGGGGAAGTACGGATGATTGAATTACATAAAATAGGCGAGAAAGGAGAGTTACCAGCATGACTGATAACAAGAGACGCGGATTTCAGGTAATCAGCTATGCTTGAGGAAAATGTGAAATAGTCTACGTCCACGGATCCATCTTCTCCGGGAGACTGAAAATCATAAGAATTCTTTAACGACATTATGCTAAGCATCAATGTTCTGAAATAAAAGTAGGTGATGCAAACATACTCCTAATCTTCTAATCTAGCAATTTTTTCCTCGAAGACACATCCTAAATATTTAATGGATGAGCTAACAAAAACAAAAGCCCTGTGTGGTTTCCATTTTCTCAAAATTCATTTCCCCCAGATGCATTTTCAACCGTACATTTTATGAGACCCACAACTTTTATCAACTTTTCAACTACACATTTCATCACCTTTTATTAAAATCTACTAAAAATCTGATTTTTAACAAAACCAAATGGGGGGTAAATGTATTGGGATATGGAGAACTTGTAAATGTATTGCTTGGATCTGCAGAGCGACTGGCCATGAGTTTGACTTCCTGTGATGCTGCCTGGGAGATTTTAAACAATTCGGTATATATTACTCTGGCAGTGGATGAGAATAACAATTATATATGAGATGGGAAAAAGTCAGCTTCCTATGCTTCTTGAGAAAGGCAACTTGTAGAAAAGAGGTAAATTCTATTATCAAGGTGGTGGCCAGATTCCCATCTTCGACCAAGTCCTGTTATATACACTCATATCTTATTCTTCTTCTATTAAGAAACCATGCAGCTAGAGGTAAGAGGAACCAATCGATGCTAAATGTCACTCATTTAATTTACATGAAGAAGATAGTGGTGATTTGACTGACAAACAACCATGGTAAAGGCTATATCTTGCATGCAAAAACTGAAACATAAAAAAGTATCCACTTCATGAAACAATCTCTTGCATAGAGAACTATTTTCCTGCATATTGAATCACAGAAGTTGGAAATTGATTGTGCATTTGAAACTATTAACTTGGTGACACAGTTAAAGAACAGACATAAAGGTGGTTATGATAATCAGTTAAGACTATGAATGGCATCTGGGAGTGATACTTTGCGGTTATTTAGAAGTGGAAGAATGGACACGACCACCTGCATTTCACTGAAATGTAACCTCATATTGAAATTTGCATTTTATCTCACCACATGTCCCTTGCTGCTACTTATTCATAAATACCAAGAAATCATTAATTTCATTTCTATAAACTTATACTTGAAGTCCTAAATTAAGTGGACAGTACTCAAAAGTCCAATATATCTTCGTGGTCTATAGACAATTTCGAGAGCTATTTTTGGAGCCTGGAATAAAGCCCACATGTTGCTTTTTTCTCCATCCAAGTAGATCAGGATGGGGAATTTGTTGCATTTAAAATCAGAGTAGATACGTAATACTAGACACCATTCTTCTATGCCAGGATCAACGAGTTAATTAACACCAAGTAAAAAAACAAGTATAAATTACCTTCGTGGGGATGTAGGTTCCACGTCCCATTTGAATGACAAGGTGGGTATAGCCCTTCCTAAACAAGGCTTCTTTAACTTCTTGAGTGTCCACTGCTCTGACCAAAGAATCAAAACATGTTGTTCCAACCGTCACGAAAACCAATCTCTTGGAGTTCATGCTATGATCAACCTCACTCATTATATTGTTTAGATTCTCTCCACCTTAATCACTTCAATACATAGAATTGTTGATAAACATCACATACTTGAAATTCTTGTTTTGGATGCAACAAATGCAAAAGAAAGATGCACTTTTCAAGATAAGGGCCCTGCATAGGAAAATCAATGACACTGTTAGCTTATAGTCTACTGATAAATCAGTAAATTCTCTATTTTCATGTTTTTGCCTATGCAGAAAAATAGACTCAAATTATTCTTTGAACAAATCATGCTCAGACAGAAAAAAAGTAGAGAACATATAATGAAGAATAGAAAAAATGGAGAAGAGAAATGGACAGAAAGAAAATAGAGGAAGGCTGAATTGAAGCACAGGCAAGGCTTGCAGCAACTGAACTGCAAGAAGAATGAAACATGGAGAGTTTTTCACAAATAACATATTTTTCATCAGGGCTTCTTGTTATCATATTAGTTATTGAGCGTGGATTGGCTTGAAAGAAAAAGATTAATTTGATCGCGCTCATTTCTGACCAATTCCCCCTTGTGCACTTCTATCTCCAAAGGTTTATTCTTGGCATTAAATTTCTCGACCTTTCATTAACATTAGCATTAGCATGCACATGATACTTACACTTCCCTTCCAAATTTCGTTACCCTTAAATTTAAATATATAAATTTTATTTATAGATTGAATAGATAAAAGGGGAAAAAAATAATTAAACATCCCTACAGCCAGGGGCGGACCACAAAATTTTTCCAGTGCGGGCGGTATTAGGAAAAAAAAAAAAGAACTACTACTTGGCACTTGCAACTTGCAAGTTAAGGTCATAGTGTAAGGCTCACAATGATATTGCAATGCACAACCACATCAGAATAGAGACAAGCAGAAACAAATGCAAGCCTACAAAAATAAAGGGGAAAAGAATCATACTGAAGAGGGACTACACAGTAGGTCTCTTGGGTTTGGTGGTTTTTTTCTTCAGCTCAGACACGCAGAAAATGAGAGGCATTTAGAAACCAGGTGAAAATTGGAAAAACACCCAATACCCAACAGGCCCAACCGGCAACACCCAACAGCCAAACTCCAAAGACCAAACAAACACCCAACACGGAAACATCCAATAGCCAACACCCATGACCCAACAGCCAAATTCAGATGCAGACGGCCAAATTTCAACTCATCCAACACGGGTGGTTAATGGTTACTGGTTATTCCTATTTGGCAATTTCACAATTTGCATATACTCTACATACTACAGCCAAATCCAATACCAGATGAAAACCAATAGAAAATACAGAAAACTCACCTACTGGGCGACTGGGCCTGGCTGATGAGTGATGAAAACTGGGCGCCTGGATGCTGGTAGTGGTGGACCGTGGATGCAGGGGCGTCAGGCAGGCGCGCCGTGAGCGGTGGATGCAGCCTGGAGCTTCAAGAATTCACTGTTTGGCAGATGGAACGCTAGCACTGGAGAAGATGTTAATTGCTCCAAAACAAATAACCAAACTTTAAAATTTACTGATTGAACCCTATTTTTAAAATTTATTTTTTTCTAAACTCATTTTTAATTGGTGAAACAAAAGGATGGACAAATTTCAACTCGACCCACAAATGACTTGAGCTCGTTTCGAGATGAGTTATAAAAATAACCGAACTCACCTTTTTATTTTTATTTTTTTCGATTGGACTCGTGCCAGTGAAGTGCCTATTAATGATAGGAAAACAAGGAAATTCAAACAAGTTCGTCGAGTTTGAATTGAAACTTAAGAATCAAGTCTTTGAATTAAGGTTATGAAGAGTTTGTACATCATAATTTTCACATAAAACTAGTTGATTCTATATGGTCGATCAAAATTAATCAATTTGTTTGATTACAATTTCAAATCGATTAACTCTATGTACGTTTTAAGCGGTCAACAACTCATTTGACACAAAAGTGAGAGGGCGGAGATCCATTTGCGAGAAATTAAAAAGTAAAAAGACACAATTGCTACATTTTCAATAGGTTGAGAACCCCATCTGTAAATACACACAGCGTCAGCAGTGACCTCATCCATAACTTAGCCGGCAGTGTACTATAATTTCCGACGCCACACTTTCCCTCTTCTCCTTTTCAAAACCCCAGTCCCCCACACCCTGCAAAAAAGCAAAATCAAATTCCCATTTTCAGATCCCTCATCTCTCTCGATCGAAAACCTAGTTGAATTCGAATTTCCCCCAGGAAAAGGAAAATGCCGAGGGAAATAATTACGTTGCAAGTTGGGCAATGCGGGAACCAGATCGGAATGGAGTTCTGGAAACAGCTATGCCTCGAACATGGAATTAGCAAAGAAGGCATTCTCGAAGACTTTGCCACTCAGGTTCGAACCTCCCACACTCTCTATGTGTTTGTGTATGATTTTTCCATTATGTAGAGTTGCTTTATGTTTGTAATTGGTGAAGAAATTGGAAATGGAAAAGATATTATAGGGGGATGTTTAGAATTTGATTGGTGATTGTGCAGTGCAAATGTGCTGACATTCAATGCTTTACTTTCAGTATGAAGCATTGATTATGTTTGTCTGTGTGTACCTTTTTTTTTTGTAGAGTTGTTTTATGTTCTTCCTTGGTGGAAAAGTATGAAAAGTTTTCAATTTTCGAATTGGTGATAAGGGGTGGAAATTTTCGATACTTAATGCTTTACTTTTTGTATGATTTTTCCTCTTTGATCATGATGGAGGTAGATGAGAAGGCTTGAACTATTGGGTTGGTGAAGTGCAATAACAAAGTGTGGTAGTTCATGTATCAAAATTTGTACCCATCTTAGTCTGATGAAATGAAATTGCACTGTTAGTTGGTTTGTGTGGGTGTGGGTGTTAAATAAGGATTTTGGTAGTTTGACATGTTCTGTTTTAGTTATTAAGAGTATTAGTAAGCAAGTGCAAGTTGGAATTGGAGGGGAAAGAAAGCAATATAATAAACCGCAAAATCTCAATTATTTTGGAAAGGGAAGCACTGGAGAACTGTTTCAAATAAATTTTTTATTATACAAATGAACCTGTGCTGAGTGATTTGTCCACAGAGTTGGGGGCATGAGATTGGAACTGAAGAAAACAAACATGCAGTGGTAACTTTGATGAGACGCACTTATAATGTCATCTCATTCTGACGTTTCATTCCTTGCTGGTGGAGGCAGATCTTATGTATATTTATCAAGGATGTGTTCGTTGAAGATGTATATGCGACAAATACATCAAATATTTGTAAATTATGCTCATATACATATATGGTAAATTGTGTGTGCACTAGATACTTATATCTGGCCCCATGAGCAGAATTGATCTCCATCAGCATTCTAATAAAAAATCTTACTCTGTTAATGCAATGCTTCAAATGCTGCAGGGAGGTGACAGGAAAGATGTTTTTTTCTATCAAGCCGATGATCAACACTATATTCCACGTGCATTACTTATGGATTTGGAACCCAGAGTGATTAATGGTATACAAAATGGGGAATACAGAAATCTCTACAATCACGAGAATGTATTTATTGCAGATCATGGAGGTGGTGCTGGAAATAACTGGGCAAGTGGATACCACCAGGTCAGCATCTGTTCCCTTTTCATAATTGATGGCAGATATTATATTTGAAAAATGCTATTCATCCCATGTGGGGATACATCCCCAGTCTATGTGGATGTAAATGATTGGTTAAATGATAGGTGAAATTAAATGACTTATTTAATTCCACCTATCATTTAATGCCACATAGATTGAGGATGTATCTCCAGTGGGGATGAATAGTATTTCTCTTAAAAGGTTAAAAGATATGTGAAATTAAATGACTTATTTAATTTCACCTATCATTTAATGTCACATTAACGTCACATAGATTGGGGATGCATCCCCAGTGGGGATGAATAGCATTTCTTATTATATTTAGCCCCCGTTTGAGCCCCATTTTGGTAAGAAAATGTATTTTGGAATAGTATTTTTTTGGAGAATGTGTGGTTAAAAAAAAGGAAAAGTTTTTGATTTACGTGTAAATTATTTTATGGGAGAATACGTAGTTGAAAACGAATTTTGAAAAAATGGGGGCCAAACATACGCTCAGTTAATGTAACATATTCTTTTTGTATTGTGAAAGTAATATACTCAGACTAATAGTACAGAGAATATTACTGGATTGCTGGTAAAACCTGTGTGTAAAGTTATATAATGGTATTCAATATATTTAGTGAGATGACTGCTGGCCTATTGCTCTTTATAATCAGTGGCGGATTTAGTGTGGGGGCAGTGGGGTCAGCTGCCCCCACACCCAAAGAGTTCCTCTAAATATTTAGGCTCCTTAATATCCATCCCCAACCTTTTATGTAAATTTTGCCCCCGCGATTACAATTTTTAACTTCAAGATTTTGCCCCCACGATTTTAGTTATAGAAATTTGTCCCTACAACTCCAAAATCCTAGCCTACCCCAGTTTGTAAACATGCTTTTCGGCTTGAAATCCCTACTGTTAATTTGATCCACGCTGTCGTCAAAAGTAATAACTTGGCATTCCAAGCTTTTCTTGTCAAGTAATATTGGATTTCAATTTCTGCCCGAAACAACTATCCTTTCTCTAATCCAGCAAATTAAAATAAAGTAGGTGTACGAATGTGTCGTATAAGGTAGAAAAACTACAGCAATCTGCCTGAAATTATTTACTGAAATTATTCAATTTTTACTCGACTGGCTATAGATTATATTTAGTAGACCTGTCCTTTGTCGTAGTTTATATCTACTAAGATAAGCCTTCACTATCTTTTGCATATTTAATTGGACATAAATCTCTTTCTTTCTTTTTCTTTTGTCCCCTTTTTGTATTAAATATGTGAATTTGGATGTCAATTGATATTGTTATATTACTTCCTTTTGGCATTGTAATTTTCATCCAATCAGGGTAAGCAATATGAGGAGGATCTAATGGACATGATTGATAGAGAAGCAGATGGAAGTGATAGTCTTGAGGGATTTGTTCTGTGCCATTCAATTGCTGGTGGAACAGGCTCAGGTTTTTCAAATCCTACCATGTTGCTGTGCAACTTTTCTATTTAACTTCCAAAATTTGAATGTTCTAAATCATACTGATTTTGATAAGAATTATGGTAATCAATTGTGAAATTGTAAGAAGTTATATGCTGGCCTTCTCAAGTGAGTGAAAAATGGAAATCAACTCGATAATGGCATTTGTGGGATGACTTAACAGCAACATATTATTCCTCAGATATCCCATGCCACTTTATCTTTAGTATGTTTTTCGCTGACACAATTACTTTCTAGTCTTTGCGAAGTGATTTGACTTATTTGGGCCAATAATCGCTTGCTTTCGCCAGGTATGGGATCATACCTATTGGAGACTCTGAATGATCGCTACAGCAAAAAACTAGTTCAAACATATAGTGTATTTCCCAACCAAAACGAAACAAGTGATGTGGTGGTACAGCCATACAACTCGCTTCTAACGCTCAAGCGACTGACTTTGAATGCTGACTGCGTAGTTGTTCTTGATAATACTGCGCTTAATAGGATTGCTGTGGAACGCCTTCACATCTCTACTCCTACTTTTGCCCAAACAAATTCTTTAGTTTCTACAGTCATGTCAGCAAGCACGACAACTTTGCGCTATCCAGGATACATGAACAATGACTTGGTTGGCCTTCTTGCTTCTCTGATCCCTACTCCTCGATGTCATTTTCTAATGACGGGATATACACCACTCACAGTGGAGCGACAAGTAAGCTTCTTATGACTGCTATTTACTGAATATTTAGCAAGTAAATGTGTTCTGACGTTTCCTGATTTCCCTTTTATTAGTTCAAACTAGGGCCTTTTGTGTTGTTTATTACGTTTTGGTTGAGTGAATAGTACAACTCTGATGTTAATTACTTTCGCTTGCAAACATGATTAGTGTGAATTTACAATTAGAAAAATTATCACAGTTGTGTATGGTTTGCGTTCTCTCAAGAATGGAACATGTAATAACACGTGTTTTGGCTTGAAAAGCTAGTTATGTTTGATGTTTAAAAATGTTTTAATATTAGATTGAATCATTTCTAGAAGAGGTGGATCACTTCTAAATGGTTTCTTTTTTGTCTATTTGATCAAATTGTCTTCTGTGCTATGTTGAGAAGTATTGAATATTTTTCATCATAAGCTTGCTTTATTTGATTAGTGGAGCTCGATATAGCTTAGGATTCTTTATTTGATGCAGTTCAATTAGACTCCTGGTATATGTGTTAGCACATTGCTTATTTCATGTAGCAATTGAACAAATAGATCTAGGTTTAATTCTCGCACGATAATCTTTCCGTCTCACTCTTTCACCCAGTCATCTTATGAATTATGAAACAGGGACTTTTTCTATTTTAAATATTTTCGTATTTGGAAATATGAAGCACACTTTTATTTTTTTGTCAAAACTGTAAGCTAATGCATGGAAACCTGTTCTGCAGGCTAATGTAATTCGCAAAACAACTGTACTAGATGTGATGAGAAGACTTCTTCAGGCAAGAGGAAAGCTCTTAAAATTTGTTTTACATGCATGGGATATATTCTTATGTTGTTTTGCTTTACAGACAAAGAACATCATGGTTTCCTCTGCTCGAACAAAAGAAGCTAGTCAGGCAAAATACATATCAATACTGAACATTATTCAAGGAGAAGTGGATCCTACTCAGGTAATTTGGTATAATGCTCATCCTTCTTAAGAAGTCAGTAATCACATGTAATTTTGGATTCGAGAATTAATTTTGAAAGCACATTTATGCAAAGAAAGAATAGAGCAAGTATCTAGAATTTTATGTTTATTATTCAATATAAACTCAGTTTCTGCAACTACGACCAGATTGTAAATTGTAAATGCCAGCACTTTTCCAAGTATATTAATAAATTTCTTATTTAGTCACGAAACATTCCCTTGTACTCAAAATCTTGATGAGGCGGAAAAGGTGTGCCATCACTAATCACATGTAATTTTGGATTCGAGAATTCATTTTGAAAGCACATTTATGGAAAGAATAGAGCATTTATCTAGAATTTTATGTTTATTATTCAATATAATCTTAGTTTCTGCAACTACGACCAGATTGTAAATTGCAAATGCAAGCACTTTTCCAAGTATATTAAGAAATTTCTTATTTAGTCACACGACATTCCCTTGCACTCAAAATCTTGGTGAGGCGGAAAAGGTGTGCCATTAGGTTTTTTTTTTTTTTGTGTTCAGTTAGTACTGTAATGATACTGCTACGATGTTTATTGGGTGGAGGTATGGAGCATTTGTAGATGAACAATTATCATCCTTTTGACATTTTTTTAAGCTGGCTTTGCTAGTGTATGAATGTGCTACTGACTTCACATGCTTAATCCCGTAGATTATCATTATGTCTTTGTTCAAACAGTCGAGTTAAGCCATAAATGATCTGGTAGTCTTTTATCTCAGAGGTCTGCAACCAATTGTGAAATTTATTAACGATTTCATATGCAAATCCACTATAACGAGTATGTAAAACAACACAAAACTAAAAAAACCACTGAAACATTTTCCGCTAAGGGTTATAATGAGAAATGAGAAACATTAAATTGGATTTTGGGTAGAAATTAAGAGTTTGGGAAGGTAGAATAGGAACCAAGATGATTGTTTTAGGGTGGAGAGAGTACAGGGATTGATCACCATCTCATACTCTACTACAGATCAGTATGCCTCTTATCTCCATAATTTCATTTTGTGTGGAATTATTTCGCTTAATGGCTCTTTGCTGAATTTTGATAATAATCTTAGAAACCAAAAGTTGTCTGTTATATCACTTCCGGTGCTCTATTTATTTATTAATGTTCGACTTTTGGAAACCAGGTCCATGAAAGTTTACAGAGAATACGTGAAAGAAAGCTTGTTAATTTTATAGAATGGGGCCCTGCCAGCATTCAGGCATGTCTAATCTTCTTTCAGTTGTTAGTTTGTATGTATATAATTTATTTCATTTGTTATACACTAAAATCTGTCTTTTCATTTTGATAGGTTGCTTTATCTAGAAAGTCTCCTTATGTTCAGACTGCTCACAGGGTACGATATCTGCACTTCCTTGGTAATTAGGACTCATTAAAGCCCTATTCGCATCATTATGTTCGATAAAAGGAATGAGGGCATGATCGGCTTCCTGTGACTGCAACCAGCTAGTTAATTCCTTTCATGACTGTCCTTGTCTGACCCCATAGAGTGGTGATTTGGATAAAAGGGGGACTGTTGCATCATTTATAATTCTTTCCTTATTTGCTTCTCTGGTACTATCTATTTAGTGCTGTTAAACTGAATAAAATGCATGCTTTTGGAGAGGATTTTAAATGAAAGTAGTGGAACCTGATAGATGCAAAAGTGAGCCAATACGTAGCTGACTATTTTTTCCCTTGTTCCAGCTCTTATAGTATACTTGACCTTTTTATCAAGAATTTTTTGGACAATATGAATCATCATTTTATACTTCTTTTCTTTCTCATGCATGTGAAGTTACATTTAGATGATGATGGTCTAAATATTATATCAATCAAGTGTAATATATGCTTTTTGTATTTGTTAGGTCAGTGGTCTCATGCTAGCAAGTCATACTGGTATCCGCCATTTATTCTCCAAGTGTTTGAGCCAGTACGAGAAGTTGAGGAAGAGACAAGCTTTTCTGGATAATTACAGGAACCATCCAATGTTTGCTGTAAGTCGTCTGCCTCATGTCATTTCATATGTAGTTTGTTTTGGGCCTTTCATTTCGTTCTTCATTTTTTCATTTTTTTTTTATAATTTAAGTCATCCACAATTTCTTCTCAACCTTTTGAGTCATTGAAATTGCAGCGTCAAAAATTTCTTAATCAAGTGATGAAGCTATGTAAAAGTTAAGCAAGTGTTTTGGTAGTTGAAACGGAGAACAAGATTTGCATATTCATATACTTTCCCCTTTGAAATTTATGCTCTATAATTGGTCCTTTTTACTCTTCCTGAAGCAGCAATCACTGGGCTTTCATTAGGTTTGGGAATTTATCATTTGGTATTCAGTCATTCCAATAACTTGCTGGTTTTAACACCTTAATACTATTAGTTGTATTATAGAACTTA